GGGGGGGGGGGGGGGGGGGGGGCATGCCCCCGAACCCCCCTAGCAACTCCCGCCTGCCTCGGTTGGCCGTTTGGTCTGGCTACAGCACTGAAAACTGAATGTTTTAACCATTTTTTTTTTTTACAAAAGTAAGGTTAATGAATCGATTAGTAATGAGCTGTTTGGAATAAGATAAGATAAGCTTCAGTGATTCAAGTCGCGGGAATGTGTTTGCTTAATTGACCGACCATACTGTACTAGAGCTGCTGGTTTCAGCACGAAACGGTGGAACGATAAGTAAAACAAAGTGAATTTCAAACAGTATCAAACAGAAATGATAAATACACTGATATTGAAGAAAATCAATGATCTTCTCACCTTCTTTCGTCGGTTTCCCGGCCATATTTATTTCAGATTCAGCGCCAGATGAGCCTGCGAGGGTTATCGCTGGTCAACTCACATGTCCACAGGACACCCAGACTCTGTTGGATCTGTCTTGTACACAATATTTTCAAATTCAGCTTAGACTTATTATCCCCCTTTTTATCGCTAGTTGGATTTGTTCTTGGTAGTCCGGAGTAAAGAGCCAACTGGGATCAAACTTTTACTAGTGTAATTTACAAGTGCAGCCATTGTTTTAGCGTCCGAAAACAATAGATACACTTGCAAATTACAATTTTAAAAGTTTTATTAAATTGACCCCTGGTTTTCCACTGAGCGGTTGGGGTTCTTAACCTTGCTATGTTTATTTTCAAATGCCTGTTGTTTCTGTCCTTATCAGTGTGGACCACAATAAAAAACTACTGGGTCACGAGTAATTGTGTTACTCCTAAAGCCATTTTTTTAAAGTTCCCTACCCCTCCCACATGGAGTCTTACACCTGTATAACCAATCACCGTCTTCCCGAACCTTAGTCGCATTAAACAGTCAAATCTCTTGGGGTTGACGGAAGGGGGGAGGGTGGGAGCATGTTGATATAGCCTGCAAAGAAGGCTTTCCTTTTGTTTGAGGGAGTCTTGCTGGCGGACTAATGTTGATGTCACTTTTTCATTTGGGGAAGAAGAGAAAAAAACCGCACCGACCGATACCTCTACCTCTACCTCTATACTCAACTCATCTTTTTGGCGTTTGCTAAGTCAGTTTGCATATTTGCGCGCGTCATCATTGTCCCCTCCTCTTCCGTTGTCTTTGCAAAATCTGTCCAAGGACGTTACGTTGCTCCTCGATATTTAATTACTATATTGAGAAAGTTAGTCTTGTATTCAAAGGTGAACTTTTATTGATATCATAGACCATTAAGAAGTGAGCTGTCTTCAGAGTGTTTCAGCTATGTCAACAGCAACAACAACAAGCTATTACAATCAGAATCAACTCGGTAAATGTTCATGACCCGTATAACGAAAAGAAAACATACAAGCTAAAGAGGTCTATTAGGGACCTTATGAAAATGAGACAGCGACGGCAATTGGAATACCCAAAAAGCAATGGGTTTTATTAACAGAACAAATGATCTGTTTTGTGTTTGTTCGTTTTGCTTTGTTCTGTTTTATTTTTTCTCGCAAATTTCTTTGCCGTCGCTGCACAACTACGACGTGAAATTACCAAATGTTTAGTATATTTGGCATGTACAACAGAAAAGGCAAGGCGAAAAAATTTTACTGTCTTTTAATGAACTCGGACGCGGTTCCTGTCTCTAGAGTTAACGTCAGCACCATGGTCTAGAAGATAATTCACTGTGTCGGTTTGTCCCTTTTCAGCAGCCACATGCAACGGCGTTCTTCCGAGGATATCTTTAGCTTGGATGTTAGCTCCACGATAGACAAGAATCATTACCAGATCCAACCTTGTGGCCAGGTGAAGGACGGTTTTCCCGCAGGCTGTCGCAGCTAACACATTTCCATCATGTTCAAGAAGGAATTTAACCATTTCTGTATGGTCTCCTTTAGCGGCAAAATGCAATGGCAACCATGCCATTTCATTTCCTCTGTGTGGGTCTCCTGCATTTTGTAGCAAAACCTGAACAGTTTGCAGGTGTCCCTTTTCAGCAGCTAACATGAGAGGAGTGTACCCAGGGTCATCTAAGGAACTCGTAAATTCATTGACGTCAGCACCATGTTCGATGAGCAGCCGAACGGAATTTGTATGGCCGTTTGAAGCAGCCAAATGTAAAGCTGAGTAACCATGTTCATCCTTTTGCAAAACATCAACACCATGCTCGATCAGTCGTAAAAGATTTCTCACTTTTCCACCTTCAGCAGCATAATGAAATGGAGTGCGATCCTGATCATCTCGCATTTCTAGAGAGGCACCTCTTTCGATAAGAAATTCTACAACCTCCTCGTCATTAAATTGGGCAGCCAACATAAGAGGCGTCTGCTGTGGTTCATCCCAATCATTCTCCAAACCATCAACAAGCACGCCGCAATCCAATAGTCTTCGAAGTTGATGAACCTGTCCTTCCCTTGCAGTCAAGTGAAGCAGGGACTGAGAGTGAAACTCCTGACAGATTGTTTCGACACGCGTGAAGATCTGCCTGTGTCTTGGGGACTGCTGTAATATCAACACGGCCCACACTGATTTACTAGGAAAAGATAATGAGTTGGCTCTGATCTTGACATTCAGAGCTGCAAAACTGTCCAGTTTGCTGGGACTGTTACTCTGGATCGCCGTAAAAGTTTCCACATCTCCTTCGATACAAGCTGATTGCAGGCGGCTTAAGCCACTTTCCTTGTCTGGTGTAATCAACGCATCAAAGGCCAAATATTTCAAGGAAAGCTTAAACAAAACAGTCATTAAAAGAAGTGTTACAAATTACATGCAAATTTTTAACACAGCCACGTTTAACGTGCATGAGCTATTTTGAATGCTTCAGTGTGACTGTACCAAGAATCTACTCTTTTCATCCTAAATTTAGACCACTTTTTAGTGTGAAATTGGTTTTGCTGTACGTGAATGAAAACGCGAAAAGTTTGGCACAGCTTAGTCGATCCTCATGCTTTTGATTAGGTTTTCTTTGCCTTTCCTTCAGCCATCTGCTGAAAATTAAACAAATTTTTAAAGTACAATGAATAACAACTCAACAAACGTTGCTTCCAGGGAAGACTCGAAGGATTCTTCAGGGTTTCTTAAAATAATAGCGGGCTTAAGCAATAAGAACGCTGACGTCCCGTACGTCATGAATAGCAACCAGCTCAAAAGTTTCCGCATAAAACGAATTTGAATGCCTTTGTTTTATCTCCCGCTACGAATTTGTCGAGTCTGAGCACTGAAAGAGACAAAATACCATTTTTGACATGCGAGACGTCAACGGTGTCGTCGCTTAAGGTCCCTAGTGTGGCTCATCGAATATCGATGTCACGATTTTCATCATTGGGGTAGATAGTTGCAACATCACTGTTCACGAGGTTTCCAGGAGCGATTCTACTTCATGAAACAGTCTTTAACTCTCACTTACTTAAGGTACTTGTTACAAAACTAAAGAGGTGGTCTCATGTCATAAGTTCAAGTTACCTAATATTGTTGTTGTGAACAGCCAGTCTGTATGAAATGTACAGTCACACAGTTTGCAAGTGAAAGTGTTGGGTTTTGCAGTTTTGGCAGCTATAAGCCATGGAACAGTGAACAGCAACGTGTATATGGCCGTTATCAAGTGTTCTGCGTTTTTAGCGCAGTGAAGCTTGACGATAAAGCCTCCAGAATAAATGTGCCGGGTCTTTAAACTTTTCGAGTTTGAAATGAAATGTTCACACGCTAAACACGGCTCATCAGCTCGTGATAGTGTGAAACGTGACCTTGGACTTCGAGTTAGCTTGAACTACAGAGGCTCCCTTTTTCTTTCTTTCACTTAGGTTATGTAGTACAAGGATTAAAATCTTACTTTTGCCGCTCTGATCCAACATTTAGAGGTCATGAAGATGGTCTGTTTCATGCATATTGAGTAATTTGTTTCCTGTGGTCCTCAGTGCGATGTCCCACAGTTCCTCCGTTAGCAACTACTTTGTTTTGGCGTAATAGTCTATGCGAATGTACTAGTAGTGCATTTAGAGGTCATGAAGGGAGAAGCGAGACTGCAGTTTCCGAATTAAAAGGTTCCTCGTCAGTTGCTACTATGATAGCAGCCCGGGATATAAGTCTTCACTTTGTGAAGAGAGATTAACTCTAAGGTCACGTTTAGCAATTAGTCTCGTTTAGCCTGTCAACACTATTTCAAACCGGATGTTTCCTTAGCGCGTTCAGCCAATAATAAAAGGTTTTCTATTTCGGAAAGGTAAAAGCCAATCAGAAAGTACCTACCATATTCGCAAAAGTAGGTGACGTCACCGGACAACATTATAACGCTCGAAATTCAGACGTCTCTCTCCCCACGCGCCCCCCAAGGGTAGGGGGTGGAGACTATGACATTTCAGACTACACCAACATGAAACCGCAACAAATTGCGTTTTACGGGTTTCTTTCGCGCTGTTCAGGGAACGATCGATGTTTACATGGCAGATTTCACGTTAAAGCGAAAGTGACAGGGAAATTTTAAGGTGTAATTCTGATAATTTGAACTGTTTTGTTGGGCTAGCTTTAGGAACGAAATTTCCCCCCAAAAAAATATGTTCTATTCCTGGCATGCAATGGAACAGTTGGAACTGTAAAATGGAATCTAAGGTCAAGATTAAAGAAAAAAGGCTATCTAATTTCGCTAAATTATCAGGACGAACATACCAGTTGAAAATTCAGCTAATTTATATGTAAAAGTTCAACATAACATGAAATCCACATGTTACCACGGTAAACTAAAGCCACGCTAAAATAAATACCACTGCTTCGTTAACATGGTAAATGCATTTTACCATAGTGTGCGTATAACCACACCAAATGTCATGCACACAATTTGCACGTGAAGATGTCGGACTTTGCCCCTGTTACAGTTCGTAAATAAACGAACGTAGGGACGGGTAGGACAGAACCCTGGGAACGAGGTTGCGCAAATTGTTTACGAAAAAATTTGGTCAAACGATTTATAGACATCACCTCCTTTTCGAACATCTGCAATAAAATTATTCATGCAGCGTTTAATTAAGGTTGATAGCCCAACATCATCTACTTTCGAGAAAATTATTAAACTGCCGAAATTTATTTCTACCCATCACGTTTTCCACTCAATGAAATGATCTTTAATTATTTTGTCCACTGGCTTCTTCCAATAGCATTCCCCAACGCTAATGAATGTTTCTACTAAATTTAAAGTTGCCCATCTTTGTTAAAGCCATGGCCACTGGGTAAATTAAAAACGTTTTAATTACTTGACGTATGATGGGGTTACACTTAATTCATTGCCGGAACCTGAAAGGTCTGTTAAACTTTGCATGGGAGAGAAAAGGTTGTTTACAGGATTAACTTTCTCGGTACAGCTTTTAAATCCCAAAATTCACAATCATAGAAATTCTCCAGACTGATCTTCATAGATTCCCTTAAAGTGTTTGTTGAGAGACTCTGTTGAAAGATCAATGCTCCCTCTGGTGACAATTGTATTAATTCTTATAACCTTTTTCCTTGATTATTAATTGATATTATCTAGAGGAAATCGATGTTGGTCACTCAATTGGGGCTTAAAGGGTAAAAAATAATCATCTAGAACCACAATTTCAGCTGCTCATGTCTTAAGCCATTTTTGGTGTTTGTATGCACTTCTTGTCTGGCAGAACAGCATGGTATTGTTCCCGATGAAATGAAAATCGCTCGCGTGATACCTATTTTTAAATCTGATGATCGTTCGCTTTTCACCAACTACCGACCTATCTCGGTACTTTCCAGCTTTTCAAAATTATTTGAAAGAGTTATCTACGATCGTTTAATGCAATAACTGATGAGTTTCAAAATCCTCTGTAGTAACCAATACAGCTTCAGGAAAAATCATTCTACTGCACTCGCGGTAATCGACTTACATGACAAGATCTCCACGGCCTTTGACCGAGGTGAGTTTTCCGTAGGTATTTTTCTTGACCTCTCTAAAGCCATCGACGCTGTAAATCATGTCATCCTTTTTGATAAACTCAAACATTACGGTATTCGTGGCTTAGCGCTGGACTGGATAAGAAGTTACTTTTCAAACAGAAAGCAATATGTTGAATATAATGGCCACCGTTCGTTAAGAAATGAAATCTCTTGTGGGGCCCCTCAGGGTTCTATCCTCGGACCTCTATTTTTCTTACTGTACATTAACGACATTAACAATGCTTCTAATCTATTAAATCTGATATTGTTCGCTGACGATACCAATGTATTCATGTCACATAAAGATCTGAACTATCTTTCAGCTATGTTGAACTCGGAGATGGACAAACTGTCAATCTGGTTTAAAGCAAACAAGCTTTCTCTAAATCTTAAAAAGACTAAAATTTATGGTCTTTAAACCAAGACAAAAGCGTTCAATTTGTAATATTCAAATAAGTATAGATAATCAGATTATTGTTAAAGTAAAGGTTAGGTCTCCTCGCCACTTCTTTTTTTCTCTCTTTTCCTTTATTTTTTGTAATTATTGTGTGCCAAATAAAATAAACATTCAGCAACAAGGGGGATTCATTTGCAACATACGCGTATAGCTGTCGCAATTGCCCGTTGGTATTTTTTTGTATTTAAACGTAAAAACGATAAACAATTCTAGTGGGCAAATGCGACAGCTACACGCGTATTTTTCAAATGAATCCAATCCAAATATCCAAAGTTGATATCCTTCCAAGCCACCTTTAGAATCTACTCATGTGAAAACAACAGTCAGCTGCAACAGTTATCGGGAATAAAAAACCAAGTATCGTGTCGAAAATGTGCTTGCCTCGAGCTATATCAAAAACAATGTCACATGGTTTCTCAGGGGCAAACAAATGATAAAAGCTGCCAATGCAAGAAATCGCGGTCGAGACAAAACAAGACGACGGTTTAACAGTCTAGCAAAAAGTCATTTCGAGTTTTGACAAGATTTACGTCATAATTGTTTGCTGTGAGGACACGTACGGCGTTGCAACATCCTAAGAAGTAACAATGATTACTTCTACCCATGATTTGCCATTATCGTCTTTACTATGAAACTTTCTTTATTTTCTGTTGTCTAGAGTAAACAAACTCCACCGCGATTTCCTGCATTGACAGCTTGCTTCCTTTTCACCGTTTTATAGTAAGCTTTATTTTACAAACCCTTTATGCCCCCCCCCTCCCCCCTTCCTCGAGCTTCGCGAGGTTCTGCGATACACGCATTTCTAGTTAATGAGTTTGAGAAAGCGTCGTGAAATTTTAAGCAATTGCTGGTTTTCAGTGTCACGCCATCCAAAATAGATCAAAATAAAAATCAAAACCATTCGACAGATAAAGTCCAGAATCTGGGAAATGAAAGGAGGTAAATATACAAAGACCCTCGCCAAGATTTGGGTCGAAGGAATAACTCGTATACGAGATATCCGAGGAAATTTTTTACCCAAATTTATAGAGCTTTGTATGGAAACACCATGCTGGAGCTCATCCAGATGAGCTACAACATGGCGGACGGAAACGAACAGAAACATCTGTTACCGAGTTTTGCTACAAAAGCGGGAATTTACTCCAAGAGGAACTCATAAACATTAAAGTAATACTTTTTCTAACACTTGAACTGTTTAAATAGCAAAATTCCTCGAAAAAAGTCACTTTTTCAACCTAAATGACAGCTCTTTCAGCCGTCATGTAAATGCTGCGTCACGCAAAAGCATAGAAATTCAAGCGTACTCTATTACAAAACCAAGAACCCTTCTGAATCGAAAAAATGTGTTTGAAAATTAGTTTTTAGCTGCTCTAATGCACCATGAAAGTAAAATCTCAGTAGGATCGATAGTTTTGTAGTTTGAATTTTAGTGACGTCATGTGAAAAGCAACAATATGGGGCTCAAATGTCCTTTTTATTCATGACAGGCAATTTGAGCCCTTAAAATACGTAAGGGAAAGACTTAACGAGAGTTTAAAAATTTTAAAATTTACAAGGATTTGTATGGAAAACCACTCAAGCGTGACTGGGTGGCAAGAGTTGTTTTCTCATACAAATCCCTCTAAGTTTCGGTGGCTCTTGCAATCTTTTCCTTTGAGATACACGGCTGAAAATTTACAGGTTACCAAATTTTACTATGCTCTCTCAGACTGCTCGCACTCTAATAATTTTATGGCGAAAAAGGAAAATGGAAAAAGATCGCTTTTAAGTCTGTGATTGAAAAATATCGGTATGGTCCCCGAAAAACTTTAACAAACCTACTTATAACAAATTGGACCATTTTTCTAGAGAAGATGGAAACAGACAGCTACTTAATGCAGAGGTTCATAGTTGGCACTACACCTGCATTGTTTAGAGGACGGAAAGAAATTAATTCTAGTTTCCCCCCTCGGCGTTAGCTTTCTTTCCAACGTATCCACGTCTATTTTTTGACATACATCCTTTCCTGGAACGTTTTCTCTCCAAAAAGCCGTATTTTTGGTAATGGAGTAAGTTCGTCTGCCACTAGTTAATTCAAAGGTACAGCAGGACGCGGTCCACATCTCTGAAGGAACGTTTACACGAAAACTCGTATCATCCTGGTAGTTACTGAATCCACCGCTGCCAAAGAATCTCGTTTCTAAGGGACCATTAAATGTCGATGGAATCGCTCCGACAACAATGAACATTCGAACGTTTCGTACCACATCTGCTGTTCCTTCCCTCAAACAATTAACTTGACCCCACCGAACGAGGTAACCTTCACACGTTTTCCATGGGCCTGAATTAAAAACCCCAAACTGAGGAACGGCATTAGTGTAAACGAAAGTCTGTTTCTTTTTTTCTTGATCCCCTATTCCGTACCGGGACGCTATCAAGTGTCCCCTGTGCATTACAACTTTAACCTTATCACCTGAAGACGGCGTCGGGTTCAATTTTTTGTACCAATTTTTATCTCTTAACTTTCTCACTCGTGGTCCTCGTATCTGGTAGTAGATTTCGCGTTTAGAGGCCTCCCAGTAGTCATCTGTGTTCTGCTGAAAATGTCCATTCAGCGTCGTCCCGCTTTCTCGAAATTTAGCATCCGCTCCTGTTGGGCGATGGCCGTCCGCTGCCGATAGTTGGCTCCCGTTAACTACTGTCGCGGCGTAAAGTGGTATTCGATTATTACAGTCATAAAGAATTGCCACCGTATTACTTTCGCATAAAAACCTAAAATCTTTTCCAGAGACAACGCTTTTGGCATGTGCGTACCGTTCTAGACCGTTTGGCAAATGGTTCAATATGTTTAGGCGAGACACTCGATTTCCACGAACATTGCAGGCGCCGAGGAAGTTACATTCACATCCCAATAAACCTGCAGCACCTACAGTGCTACAGCGGGGCTGTGCTGTTGTCCCAAAACACATACAGCTAACTAATGCTAATACGATCGCAGCAAAACCCGCCATGGCAACACAAAAGTAAATGAGCAGGTTCAGAATATCGAATTTATTGTCTAAGCAGTACTAAAAACTGTGCTTGCCCTGACAAGTTCTGATTGGGTACTCAAAAAAGCCGAAAATAGTTTGAACAATACGTGGCAACAAACGAAGTAAGAACAAAACAAAAGATAATAAGATTGCCTTATTCCCACTTCCTGTTTTTCCCGCTGAACATAGGCGAAAATTGTGAGAACTGAAAGTCTCTAAATGCAAGGAGACTTATACCTTACATAATGCAGAATAATTCTCGAGTACGCCCTACATGCGAGTGCAGAAAAATGGCAACAAAAGCCACTTCGTTTTAACGGTTTCAATATTTTTGTGTGTGCCTGTGTGTATGCGAGTATGTATTTATACCACAGCAACTCTAAGAGTCTCCACAGACAGAGATTTAAATTCTAGGGGAATATTTCGACCTTGGGATTAAACGGTGAGACGTGACTGGCATTATCACAAGTAAAAACACGAAACCGGAGTTATTATGTTCACAAACAAGTTGAACGGACTCCAAAATCGATCTCCGGTTTGTGGTATCCCTCTTCTTCCTAACCGCTAAAAATAAAAATGAAAAACTTCCCAGAAATATTCACTTTTGTCCGCATTGACCACATTATTTGAGCCTTGTTCGCAGGGCGTTATACTGCCCCATTAAGAACAGATTATTTGTCGCTTAAGCCATCTTCGAGGTAGACAGACGCAAATCAGACAAAATAGATCAAAACGCCCCTTAAAAGTGCAGTGAAAAATCAAACAAGAAAAAGACCCATGCTGTAGATTTTAAACAACTTGCCAACAAACTGATACAAGCAAGAATAGTGCGCTTGTTTAGCTAGTAAAGCGAAACCAGAAAAAAATACATTAAATTGTGACGTAGATATTCATTCATAGTCTAAGTAGCTTTTCTTTTTCTTTCGTTCTTTCTGTCTTTTTTTCTTTTTTTTTCAGTGCGATTGTATCAATCAGAATCCTAGGTTCCTGTTGTCGGAAACCAACATCCATATTTTGAATTCAACGTCACTTCGTCTTCATGTGCTACATTCGTCAACGTTGATACTTTCGATGACTATGTCAATTGCACATCACTTTTGTAAAGATTGCTAAGATAGTAACTAAAACTGCAACCTCTTACAATAAATAAACAAATAAGTACAATACTTTTTTATTAATCAATATGTGTCTACTGTTCCAAATTTTTGCTCCACGACTGTACAGTTGCAAAAACGCCCATATAAGCGAATCCTGATTTAAAATTTGGAATTTTGGAATCCGGAATACAGGTCAAGGAATGTAGAATTCAACTGACGATTGAAATCCGGAATCCAATTTCAACAGACAAAGTATCCAGAATTCAGTATCTGAAATTCAGAAGGATGGAATCCATAATCCAAGACTGTCTTGGATTCCTTTAAATGGCGCGAATGATTTGTTGGGGCTTAGAGATAATCATTTACATGTCTTGCCTCTGCAGAATTTCCGCGTTTAATTAAACCAGTAGCGGAAGCCGAAAAATGGAGCATACTTCCTTGCAAAGCTATATCGTCCTCTGTTAGTTTTCAAGAAATCACTCGCATCCCTTCCCAGCAGCGTGAATGTACTTTTGCTAACCCAGTGGTTTAAGTCAACAGTACAAAAACAACAAACAAACAACCAAAACAAAAAAGGGCCACCCATTCCACTGAAGTTAAGCATCAATTCATTACTTGGCTAAGAAAACATTTATAACTTCATTAGTAGATTAATTTCGTCTCTTTAGAACTACCATAAAAATTCAAAACACAGTAGCTAGTAATAATAGCACTTGTCTATTAATAATGGTATCAGTAAATCGCACAAACATTTTTAATTTCACATTTTTGTAAGAAACAATGACGTGGCTTTCACTTAACAGTACGTTCCAAAACAGATGACACTATTGGTTATCAATGAAGTGAAAATATGATTAAAGGAAGGACCTATATTTGGGTTATGACGGAATCCATCAGGAAATTGAGTAATTTTTACTTTCAGAGGACAAAAACCTGGTACCAGAATATTTTAAGCCATATCGCATTTTACACTTTTCAAGGGCTATATATGTGACTAGTTGTAACTTTTGCTAAGTGCCAACGAAAGAAAAAGAATTTGCCTACATCACCGGTTTTAGTTCCAACCATTTCAGCTGCTGAGGCGAGTATTTCCACTACAAGTGCGTTCCTACATTTCTGCCATGCTCTTGGCCTTAAAAATCGCTCTTATTCTTCTGCTTAGACATTTTTGAACCTTAAACTTGTCGAGTTTCAATCAGCGAAAGAAAAATAACATTTATAGGTTAGCGCGAACTTGTAATAGCGAGTTGTAGTTCGAACAAGTACAGTAGAAGTGTGGCAGAGAACAACGTCCAAACTTGTTTACAACAAACGGGTCATCAAAAGTGACGTGAAACTACACGTTAAATCTAACGCTAGTAAAATCCCCAGGGAATCTACACCTTACATTACACTTACATTACACTTTTCACAGCACGATCGAGAATTTTTCTGCCTGCTGCAATGCTTCGCGTGGCATTGAGCTGGCCGTCGGCTTGCTCGTTGGCAATTAGTTGTCTGTAATAACACCAAGGACAATTTCTTACGGGAGCTCTTTCAAAATGCAAAGGAATTGAGAAAACACATGTAAAATTGCCAGTATAGTATGGTGTCTCTGCAGTTAATCCAAGTTATTTCTGAAATATTTATTAATATGACTACTTTCTTTTCGTTTACGTTTTGTAAACTGCATGGATGAAGATTAACAACATTTTAGATCTTATAGATGATACTGCTTACCATGGCAAGGGCTAAAATGCTGCTCTCTCCAGAAACTGATCGGATGCCAAGTTTTATGACATCTTCACCTTCAGTTATAAACAGAAATATACTGAATGTACAGGTAAATATATTTTACGTGGAGATTTTTCTTATGACGTCACAAAGCGCTATAACTTAGTGGAGATATAAAATTCATGGAGGAGGAAAATTATTATGCAGACACAGGCTCTACGATTTTGTTTGGAGTTGTCTTTGGCCCGGCGCTCACTGTAAAGACTCCGATTCCATAGAAGGTCTCCCTGTGTCACAGCTGTCCACTGTTAATTTTGTTATTATCGCGGTCAATAATGTCTGCCATGAAATTAATACTTGTGAATGGGTAAATGTGAAAATTGCAACTTCTGTGTAAACACGTACGTCTCCCATTATATCAAACGTTTAACAAACAACAAAGAGATAAAATGAAGTCGAACAACTGGAAGACAACAACAACACGTGACTGCAATATCGTCATCCTCCCCATTAAAGATTTTCAAGCCGTTCCTTTTCTTGTATCTGCTGTGCAAGTTCTAACTTCTGTTGTAAAGGTATCAGGGGTTCTTTTTATGTTTCATTCAATTTGATGGTAGTAGAGTGTAATTCCCAGCGTTCAAAGTTTGATAGATTTCGTGACAAAGCGCCATTAGGATTCCATACGATTGAAGTCTTCCTGATATCAGATCCCGACCTTAATTAACATATCCAACTCTCCGATTCCGGATAAAGAATTAAATTTATAATTTAATAAACTTATTATTTAATTTTAATAAGTCTCAGTTGCTTTTAAACAACAAAGAAAACAACATACTGTTAAATATCCATACGGTAAAATATCACTTAAAAAACAAAACCCAAATGACCAAAGTCGAACTTCTGTCGCTAATCATTTAACAGCCCCCAAACGTAGTACTAATTGCTCTTCACAAACGTTTGCTACGGCGTTTACAAACATTTTCCGTGCTTACAGCGTCTTTTTCGTTCTTGTTTTTTTCTTTTATCTTGTGTTGAAATGAATAAAATGTTGATCGATTTTAATTGTTCAGACTTGGCGTGATCATGGGCGCGCCGTGACGTTGGATACAAATTTACATAAGGCTAAAGCTTACTGTCTCTTCTGCCTGCATTCGTGATACTAACGATATATTTTAATTTTACGAATTTCAGCTCATGATTTTGCCCCTAGTGTTATCCACATACAACGGCATGCGATATTTCCACGTGTGAATCAACCGTTGTACCAATATAAATACAACTACGAAGCCAACTGTGGTGTCAATAAACCGAAATTCCGGTGTATTGTTAGGCCACTATTCCAATATTCTTTGGTTTGTTTAATGCTTTAACTACAAAAAATCATATTTTCTCACCTCCACTGAGAAGAAATATCCTTTATAAGCTTCAGCAGTCAATAGCCCTCGTGTCAACGCTGACATGTGTCTGGGGTTTCCGTAAGAAAGGAACTGCGGTTAGTTTGGTCAGCGGAATAAGCTAGCAGGGAGGGGTACCAGAGGAGCAAGAGCATCGTCATTAACATCATCATCATCATTGTCATCGTCAACGTGTATTGCTTTTTTAGAACAACAAATAAGTAAATAAATACACGTTGCTATCAGCTTTGCAGAAGTCTTTGGACTTCTCGTTTTTTGTTTTTAATATTGTAGCAAATTAGATCTCTTTTCTCCAACGTTGACCACCAGCAGGATCTTCGTACACGGTTTTTCCCTAAAAAGATTTGCATGACTTGTCTTCAATTTCTCATGGGACTAACAATCTTCCCTTAAGAAATTGCAAACAAAACTGATTCAAAACTTTGTGGGGAAAACCAATGGAAACGTGAATTTCGCAGAATCGTGGAACTCTCCCTCTTTTGGATCTCGGCAAGTTTAATAATTTGAAGGCGTTATTTCCAGGTCGATGTATATAAGCTGTTCAAAAGTTTTTTTCTAAAAAAGGTCAATTAATTGTGTCATTATTAAGGGAATTAAACTATTACATCTTAAACAATTTACAGAGACCATGCTATTTTAATATTTTTCGCTTCATGTCTACTTTGAGGGAAATTTTGCAGATTCTGCCAATAAATTCAACTATATGACGTCATTAGGGGAATCAAGTTATGCTCGGAAGTTTTAAATGACGAGT